TTATAGTGCAGTCCCAGCAACAAATCCAATGGTGAGACTTCAGCCCAGGTTGAAGGAAAACACGAAATGGAGGCTATGCTTAAAAATCAGCCATGAAGGTTTGGGGGCATTGAAGTGGGCAAGGGGGAAGACTGCACACATTTTAATTGATACTGTGCAAGTGGCCAATGATTTTACCAAAGATTTGGAAGGAATGAGCTCTGTGTGCTTCTTCATATCCCAGAGAGGTAATGAGCAGTCAGGAGATCCAGGTGTTAGCTATGACTTGATCATTGTTGCTGCAAGATCTTGTCAAAGTGTTTTAAACATCTCCAAGCCTCAGTTTCATCATATGCAAAATAAAAAGCTTAGACAAGTCAGGGTTGGCAAATGTGTGTCCAGATGCTGCTACTCAACTCCTGGTGAGGGCAGCCTCTGCAATGTCATATTGTTCTCAAGTATGGTTTCACAGTATTTGTGCACACAGCTTTCCACACAGTCCCTGCCAATACATTAAGGTTGGCACTCAAAATGAACATTCTGTGCCATTCTGTGTCCAAAATCACATGCCTCAAGCGACAGTGTACCATGACTCTTAGAATGATTCTTTGGCTTGATAAGATACTCAGATCAAAATGGTGTTCGCTAATAAATCAACTTCTAGCATCTAGAACAGGATCTAGCACATAGAAGTTTCTCAACCAATGTTAATAAAATAAATAATAACTAAACTTGAGAGCTTGCTTAAGCATTTTGCATATATTACCTTTTTATTTTTATAATTTTTTTAAGGCATGTTCCTCTTTGTCTTCATTTTATTGATGAGAAAAAAAACCTGTAGATGTTATTAAATATATATATTTGTACACATACATTTATGTATATACATATGTACATGTGCATTTATGTGTGTATATATATATAATGTACACATACATTTATGTATATACATGTGTACATGTGCAGCTACACATGTAAGTTTAAATGTATGTATCTGAATAAGTGATCTGCATATTTGGGGCTCAAATATAATTCTCTGAATGTATGGTCATATTCTTGACCAGATCTGACTTCAAATATTTACAGAGAAGGACTTAAGCCCCAAACTACCAAGTCCCATTAGCCAAAAAAAAAAAAAAAAAAAAAAAAAAAGGAAGAAAGAATGAATGAAATATTCAAGATTACTTGGCTACAAACAACAGAAATTTGACTTAAGTTAAATAAAGATTTTTTTTTAATTAAAAGGCAACTAGAAGGCTCACAAAAGAAGTATAGAAGCCAGATAATTTCAAGGATTTAGTATTCCCATAGATASTTCTGTCAGAGTTTTACCTTGGGAATAACTCGGAATCTCTATACTCAAATTCTTAGGAGAGGAATTTAGTCATATGGCAACCTGAGGTCAGAATAAGAAGGGGCATCTCTTATGATGATATAAAAAGAGGAAAAGGTGCTTCCCCAGAGGAAAAGTTAGGTTCTTCAAAGAGGGAAAAAAAATAAAAGGTTGTAAAAGGCAACATCCACATCTTCTGATTCCACTTGAAAATTCTTGAGATTCCATTTCTGCCCCCAATAGACAGTGATTTTTTTAAACAGATGCAAATGGAGCCTGCTTTAGTTTGAGTCATCAGAGAAGCAGAATTCAAGATGCAATTAAATGCACAAGGATTTTATTGGAGAAAATGTGTGTGAGAGAAAATGGCAAGGACACCAAGTGAGGCTGCAGAGCTATCAGACAGGGATGCAAGTCTGACATGGAGGGGAGGGAAGGAGGCTGGGTGGAAGCTTTTGAGGTTGCCATGCTCTAAAGAAGGTTCAGGAAGGTCTCCAGGGAATCCTCCATCCCAAGTCCTGTCTTCTAGGAAGTGTTCTTGCCAGAGCCACTCATTGACTGGGAGCTGCTGTGGGGAGGCATGGCCCCAGCACAAACACAGGGAAGGATTTGTAGAGAGCACATGAAGACACTTGGTCACTTACACCTGTAGTTGGATTTTTGTGAGGCACGTTCTCGAGGTAACCACAGGTGTTCCCAGGACATCAATAAATTTTCCTGTTCTTAAAACTCTCAATGATTTATCATGTAATTGGTTTATAGCAAGGACCAAACATATATCATATGGGGTAAATTTGGATACCTGCTATTTTAACATATTTGGCTTTGAGGGACTCTACCTCAGGTGCTTGCTCCAAATCTGACCTGAACTTTGCAAACTGGATTTAAATTGTGATTYAATATATCCCTAATTCATTAATCACCACACAGTCACCAAGTCAGATTCTAATTGCAAACCTATGTCATCTAAGAGTTTTTCCAATTCCTAACTAGAGCAAAGAAACTTCTGAAAACACGGAAATGTCTGAAAAGTCTAGCTCACATATTTTTAGACTTAGAATTTTGAGAAAATGAGACAAACTGACTTGGTTCAACTTTCAAGGGACACAATAATATATTATTATAATATCATAAAGTAGTATATATTAACATATATATAATTATAATTTATATATATACTGTTATRTTAGGTAACATGTACATATTAGTATCAATTACTCTTCTGGGCAGTTTAAATTTATTTTTACTCATTTAATCTTTGAAGCAAGAACRTTATGTAAAAGTAGGACAATCCTCATTTATTTTTGTGGAAAACCAGATTTCAAAAGGTCAAGTAACTTGCCCAGGTTTCCATAGGAAGTAAGTTCTGCAATCAGATTTGAACCTATGGAATCTGTCTTCTGAATCCTATTYTTAACTGCTTCTCCTGTACCTTCCCTGATAGTGATATTTGGGTAGGAATGTTTTAAGAAAATGCATGGAGGTCATCAGAACACAGCATGAATCCCCCTGAGTCACAGAAAGAATGAMTTTAGGCTCAAAATTTATGAATTTACCAAGAACCACAATGTCAACAATATAATCATGCTGAAGATAGGATTTCTCAAATTGTGGATMACTAATAGAAGTTAGGATCAATACTTTTAAAAACGAAATAAGAMTTACAGGTAACAGAGATAAATTGCATGTATGTGTGTGTACATGGGCATGTGAGTATTGGATTCAAAAATGATGTTATTTTTAAATTTTTATGGKTTCTTTTTAGTTATACATAACATTAGGACTTATTTTGACATAATTATAAAAGCATGGAACACAATTTGCTCTAATTCGATCCCCAGTATTTTCCCTTTTTCTTACATCCTGTTCCCTTCCCTCTACTCTACTGATCTTTCAGAAATGATTTACAAACTGAGGGTTACAGCTAAATGAAAAAATATTTTTTATTTTTTAATTTCCATTTCAGAAGCCACTGAATCCTTCCAATAAGAAGGAGAGCTCTTCTGCTTGCCTGTGGTTATTAGCAATAACCATGGCTCTGGACAACCAGCATACTTTAGGTGGGAAAGCTTGGGCTTCATCTGAAACAGTCAGGTTATACTGTCTGGGGCTGCCACTTAGCCTGCCTATGAGAAGGTAATAGAATAGGCTATGGAGTCTTAGAAATTAACCCTTGGGAAATTCCAGGAGGATTAAGACCATTGGTTATTTAATCAGCCATCTTGTCTTCTACCAAGATAACTGAAAGGGTAGTGCTCACTAAAGCACTCAACACTGGAAAAAAGCAGCTAAAAGTACCAAGGTTTCATAGAGTTCCCACTCTTTTATTTGACATTCCTTTTTCTGCCTGCTTAGTGCACCAGCCTGACATTTTTCTTTGTTCTTATGGGCATATATCTAGCTTCCTCCCACAGATCTCTTACATGGCAAGAAYGGTACAGACTCTAAACATTATTCTTCCCCCACAGATGTCAAAAATGCATGAGCATGCAGTGCGTGCTGGGCTGTGGGTGGCAAAGAAGGAAAGAGCCAAGGAAGGCAATCTTAGAAATATCAATTTCTTTGATATAATTATACAATGGCTTCAATACTCCTAAGGGGCCATAATCATAAATGATGCCTCTTAGCCCTCAGCCACATGCTACTGCATGCCTGCTACTATCAGAGCTCTGTAGGGAGTGTGGGAGAATTGGGGCCTTTGCATTCCAGGAACTTGCATCTTAGTGGAAGACAAGGCAAACAGGTATAATAAAAAGAGAGTGCTTCATACCACAAATGACAAGGAATTTTCAAAAAATTTTCTAAATGCAAATTACATTTTATTCTTTTTTTAGCATTTTTATTTATTTTTTATTTTTTATTCTAATTTGATATATATGACAGMAGAATGCATTTCAATTCATATTATACATATAGAGCAAAATTTTTCATATCTCTGATTATATATAAAGTCAATTCTTAATACACAAAAATAAATGCCATAAGCTCGTAAAACATTTAATTATTTACATTTCCTTTAAACTTACTGAGACATAGATTTTTGAATAATACTTTTAAAATAATTTATGGTTAGWCCTTCTGATTGAAGATGTCAAATGTTAAGCAAATGAAGAATAATGACAATAAGATCTTAATAACATTTTCCATGGGTACGAAAAAAGAGCATCAACAGCAGTGGGAATAGGCTTCTTTGATTTTACCCCATCTTTCTAACCTAAGCCTCATTTACACATTTTTCTTCAGTTTTTGAGAAATACTATAAAGCCTGAAGTACTGTGCATTTGTGTCCATTTTAAGCATATGTGATGGAGAAAAWTCTCTGTCTTCAAAAATGAAAGTATATGAAATTTGTATAGTGTTCTTGCATAGATTTCCATCTCACAAGAATCTCATATAGTAAGCTATACAACCTCTAGCTTACAGTGAGAAACTTACTCAAGTTTTCTTGGTTAGTTCTTAAAGATATGATACCTATATTATATGATTTTAAGTTAAATCATCTTTCCAGCAGGAATAGATAAATGGTTTAGTGTTACAATGTATGCATGCTATTATTCAGCAATAAGTTGTTTTTTCAGAACTTCAAAAATACACTGTTTGAATCTTCAAAGAAATGCAACATGAAGACTTACTATTATATTCTAACTCTGGATTTGTAATTTTTCTACAATTTATATTCATGAAACAGATACATCACCTTCTAAAACCACTACAGTATCCTCAACATTAATAACATCTCCAAGATACATCTCCCCACAAGGTATGATTTCTCTGTGTCTGAGTGGAATATTGGCCTGCTTGACCCTTCCTCACCAACAAAATTCTACCAATCTTGGTTCTCAAAGCAAAGCTCTTTCAAAATGAGAATTTTTTTTTTTTTTGCACTTGAAGCATGACATCTATCAATCATAGCTGTTTTCCTTAAATGTGGGTGGAGGGAGGATTATGAAGATTGGCACACATTAACCAAAAGTGAATTGTCTTTTTCTCTTTTTTTTTTCTTAAAATAATAGGCACTGAGGATGAAAAATATGCAAACCCTTCACCAACCAGTTCTTCTTATTCCAGTGAGTAACATACACATCTCCATTCAGGGAAGTTGATATGCAGAATGTTCAAATATGAGCAATAAAGGGAAGGGATTAGATTATGAATTTTTTTCCCCTCAACTTTATTGAACTTTAGCTGCCTGCTTTGAGAATTTCCCACAAATCTGATCTTAGTTAGCCRACTTTGGAAATATTTTTCTTATCTTAGTGCTAAGGAGTTACCATCAAGGGCCAAAGATGACCATGGAACTAGTTTCAGACAAGCCAAAATGCACAAGGAAGAGATCCCAGTACAAAGTTATTGTGGTCAAACCATCACGTTGTGTACCTTGGATATATTCCATATTCATTTCCAATTAAATATTTTAAATAAATAAAGTAAGTTACCTCAATAGAACTTTATGTTTAAAAAAGACCTTTCAGACACATTCCATTTTAATTAAAATATATGTATATGTTTAGAGTATATATTAGAATAAATGTATCTAGGACTAAATACAGAATACTTAATAATTTTCTCAGAAATTTACCTTAAGATAAATATACATGAAGCTGGAATCATAAAATTTTATCTTAGGTTTGAGTAAAGCCATTTCACTAAGTAAGTCAGTAGAGAAATTACAGAGCTGCTGATTCACAGACTCTTTATTTGGGAAAGCAATAATAACCTCACTTAAAGTCTATTAAGAAATCAAAAGAATGTTCTTAAAACAAATATTTAATCATGACAGTGGAAGTGTAAACTATCCTATAAATTAGTTGGAGAACTATCCTCACCCTTTAATAAATATATGAGGATCATACACACAAGCAGATGGGAAGACCTAACTAAAGAGTAGCTTAACTCCTGATTCTCTTGTTGTATTCCTATGACAGTGTGTTTCATTTCACCACTATTCTGTTAATGTGGGAAATGACTATCAGAAAAGAAGGCAGATAATTCTATAAAATCAAAAGCACTCTTAAAAAAAAAAAAACACAGGAAAAACACACCCTAGGTCACCTTAGCAACATCACGCCCCCAAACAAACACACTCAGGCATCTCTCTTGAATCATGTTTTGCAGTTTTTAAGAATCACACCCAATGTGATATCTACTTGTGTTATTTTTTGCCTTTACTGGTTTCAGGACAATATTATTAAAAGGGTAAATGTGAGTTTTTCAGTAAGACTAGCACAGCCCCAAGTAAACTATATATATTTTTCCAAGTAACTTTGATATAAAGTGCTTAGGAATATAATGAGTGAATGTGATTTGAACTATAATCTAGAGGACATTTTCTGCCTCTCCAGTCCTCCATCTCTTTATTCCCCCAGTCACCARGAAGATGAGGAATTCATCTCTCTTAGGTTTGCAAGTTTGTTTCAGAAGGGCTACAAGACTGACATCAAGTGGATGTGTCAGAAATGACAACTGGAGCAAAAACCCAGAAAGCAGATAAATCCTCTTTGTCTGAAATGTAATATTTTTAACAGAATGAAGTTTAAAGGAGAAATCATGCATGCTCTTGCTCAGTTAGTAATCTATCTATGTGAAATCCAGAAGCCACTCTAATTTACAATGTCTCCAACACTTTTCAGGTATTATTTTGCCAGTGGTCATTGCTTTGATTGTTCTAACACTTTCAGTATTTGTTCTGGTGGGTTTGTATCGAATGTTCTGGAAGACAGACCCAGGTATGTAACTGTGTTTTGTTTTATTTTGTTTGCCTGAAAGGATGATGAATAATTGCTTAGTCTAAAATTGAACTTAGATTCTTAAAAGTTGAGAGTCTCACAGATAGAGATAAAATATTGCTTGATCACAAAAATAGAGGGTAAGATGCAGAAAAATTCCATTGAATGCCAGTGGCTTTAAGGAATGGGGATTAACTTCTGTTGGTGGATATTAAATATGGAAGAATTCTGRTAACGAAATAGCCTAATTTTTGCGAATGGTCAAGGGAACATGGGGGTAAAGAGGGCAGAGTGGCATATCTGGTTTATAATGAAGTTTTTTCTTTTTTCCATTTGAACATAACAGAYAATAAAGGGAGTCTTGCTAAGTTTAGGAGCCCACAATCTTAAGAACAGTGTTTTGTGCTTTAGTCCTTGGAGACTCAGCTTCCTTCCAATGAAGGTGTGTCTACCTTAACTCTCTGTTTTGTTTCTTGTTTAAATAAACTTTCTATTTTAGAATAGATTTAACTTACAGATAATTTGCAAAGATGAGGAGTCCCCATATATCCCACATCTAACTTCCCTTATCATTATGTCAGTAGAGTGTATTTGTCACAATTAATGAACCAGTACTCAGAAATTATTGTCAACTAAATTCTTTACCAMATTTGTATTTCTTTCCATTTTTTATTCAGTTGTTTTTCTGTTTTAAGGACTTTGGCTATTTTTTTTTCCTTCAACTTCTTCTAAATTTCCTTTGGCTCCCATGGCTCAACTGTCCCCTATGTCACCTTAACTCCATCGATCTTCCGGTTCCCAACTGATGGTATTRTGCAGTGTCATGAATGTGTGTCACATCCACACTGTTCCTTATACTGAAATGTCTAGCCCACCTCTTAGCTTTTATGGTATACCTCCAATTTACCCTGTKGGTCCAGATCAAATGAAAAGTTACTTATCTTTTTATAGCATACCATCACAGAGTGAATTGTCCCCTTAATTTTAATTCTACAATGTTGATGATATCATTCATCATACTATGGCATAGTACTTTCTACGCCTTCTTTCTATGCCTCCTCTGTGAGTCAGATGATCCCTCCAAGTCACAAATCTCATTTTCCACATTACACTATAATAYATACAGACCCTCATTACATACTTTTGAGTTAAATTTTTAAATCTTCAGTAAAATAGAGTCTTGCCTTTACCCACTTTGATTCAAAATGTTTCACTAAGAAAATTCTACCAAAGTCCCAGAAATGGTTAAAATGTAAAAAGCACTGATTTTTATAGAGTATATGAGCTGCACTATTCTTTGCTGACTTCGTGGACAGAGTGCCCTCAGGACACTAATGAATGCAATACAGGGGAGCCACTGAGTGTACATCTCACAGGCCATTAGTGAATGATCATGACAGCGCAGGAAAGTTAGGAGACCAAGACTGCAATGTTCAGTTTAGCTCTTGGTGGAAAATAAGAAAACAAATCAATGCTTTATCATTTGGGAGTGAGAGAATAAACTTCTTAGTAATCTCTGAAATATGTTTTCTTACTCCAATTTCCAGAGGGAAGATAGCTTTTTTATATTCAGGCTTAATTTTTCCAAATTTTTAAACCACCAATACCCAATTTTTATRCTAAATCAGCCTAAATTTGAAGCCCTTGAGTGTAGATTATGAGAGTTATCCAATCCCAAAAAACCAAATGCCAAATATTGTCTTTGATATAAGGAAGCTGATTCATAGTGGGATAGGGAGAGGGAGCATGAGAGGAATAGACGAACTCTAGATAGGGCAGAGGAGTTGGAGGGGAAGGGAGGGAGCATGGGGTAATTAATGATGGTGGAATGTGATGATCATTATTATCCAAAGTACAKGTATGAAGAYACAAATTGGTGTTAGTATACTATGTATACAACCAGAGATATGAAAAATTGTGCACTATATATGTAATCAGAATTGTAATACATTCCACTGTTATATATAAATTTTTAAAAAAGAAATACCTTATATTTTAAAATTGCTTGAATAGGAAGACTTCAAAATGTGTTATTTGAAAAGTTGAAGTTTTATATTAAAGAGAACTCTGAATATATAAAATTCGCTCCATTATGAAGAGTTATTCTGAAGACATATAATTTCTCTGAAATGAAGTTCAGCAATTATATAATTAGCCAAATCTGTTTGGTTACTGTTAACTTTGTTTTCCAAACAGAATTCACAGCATTGTTATCATTAAATTAGCACCATTAAACACCCGCAGTTAATCGCTCTTCAAGTATGTGGGTGAGACTTCATTAAGTTCAGAAAATTAGTAAACCTACTCCGCTCTCTGGAAGACAACATGAATCAGAGTTCAGCATGAAATTAGATTTATCTGGATAATGTTGAAAATGGCTGAGCTTTAACCCAAGTAAGCAGGTGCAAATGCAAAAAGCTGTCTGTTAATGTGCATCTCTCTGTCAATGAACCCATTATTATAGTTCTCCAAGAAAAAAAAAATATTAGAATGGGCATACAAAAATTATCAGCTCATTTTGAAATGGGCTATGAGACCACAGGTGATACTGTCTATGACACAGGAGTTTAAAAATGTTGTTAAAACCCTTCTGAAGGAAAGAAGTCGAGGTTAGATGGCACTGGTGAGGAGTACGCAGTGCCATGGATTAGATGGTAGGGATTAAGAATTATGGTTAGGTGTTGCAGGCAAAATGTTAGTGGAAGTTAAACTCTTTATAAAAGAATAATGGTCAAAATGGATGGCATTATATCCCAATGACAAGAGCTGAATTCGACCTAAAAGGAAGTTCAAGAGACAGGAGGTGAGTAGAAAGGAATACAATCAGGAGCATGATAAGGAGCATTGAAACAATCATAATATGATTTAATCATAATATGATTTATTTAATAAATAGCCCAATGCAAGTGTTGATCCCCACACCCACGCCAGAATGGGGCATCATTGTACAGAAGGGCTCATTCCAAATTCTCACTCTGAACCAAAAAGGTGTTTCCTCCCAGAGAAGTGGCTTGGCAGAGTGTACAAATAGTCCATTGCTGTTAGTAGCCTTGGTGACATTTTGCAGGGCACTTTAGAAAAATTAAATGAAAGGTCCTAAGATGCAATTAGAAACAATACCTACATTGTATCTCACCAGGAATGCAGTGATTTGTGTCCCAAGAAAGAGCAGCATATAAAAGAAAGTAAAAAATTCAATTCTCTGGTATAAAAAGGTAATTTAGTACTTGGAGGAGAAGTTTCTTAAAGATATTAAAATAAAATGAGAATTTTCTAGAGTGGGTTGTACAATAATGGACAGTATTCTGCAAAGTAATATGAAACTAATATTAAAATCAGTCCAGAACTAAGTTTAGTGGAATTGTTCTAATTAGGATAATCCCAAGAGTGTCAGGATAAGTATAAACCACACCCAAACAAATGTCTGTGAGGCAATAAAAAAAAAAAATTAAAAGCTGGCTTTAGAAAGAGAGTTTGAACAGAAAGCAGTAGGGGTCTCAGACTTTTGGTAGTTAARCTCTTTGAAACTCTAATACAATTGTCTTCTCTCCTAGGGACACCAGAAAATGGGAATGATCAGTAAGTAAGGCCAGATTGCYTTTTTCCCCCCTAGAAGCTCTGCCCCTACCATTTACATAGTGAAAATGCCAGATCCTCTACTTATTTTTTGTGTTGTTTTCTTAAAAAAAAAAAAAAAATGAGAAGACACTGTATACCAAATAYAGGGTTCAACTACTTGTCATTTATATTTAAATGGCTTTATTTAACAGAAAAATTCCCAAAACTAAAATAGAAGTTTGCTCTTATGTGTGCATAAAGTGGGCAAATAAAAAATAAAAAGACAAAAAATAGAAAATATAACCCTGAAGAAAAATAGCATAGAAAACATACCTAGAGTTTTAAGATTGTTTTCCCAGGGAAATTCCCTTCCTCTTTATCRCAGTTAGGAACAAATTGTGCCTATATCTTGAGCCATCTCTGAGTGACTTCCTCTTAGCAGTAGATGATTATCCTACTTTGGCTGCATTAAAACAAATGAAGACATTATCAGAAATCCAGGCAATTGTTACAGCCCAGGTGAGGTACAGAGACATGATAAATCTGATGAATCRTTGTCATGTTGAAAAGGAATTCTGTGGTTTTCTTTGTTGACCTGCATTTGTAGCTTGCATTTATATAAGTGGTTTTTTGTTTCACTGGGGTGTGAATGCTACGAATAATATCCCTTGGTCCCCTACCATCTGAATTAGAAGTGGAGCTTCTTCAGATGTTTAAGAGAAGGAACTAAGGTTTGAAACTGTTTGGAATCTGGGAAGCAATAAGTGGGAACTGTTGGTTGAAATAGGCGGTTCAGTCTACACTGCAATATCTCAGGACCTCATGAAAAGAACATCCCCAGAACTCAGCAACAGCCCATAAGGTTTGGAAACATGTCTGCATTCCGTATTTTCCCTCTCATATTCAGAGCTGGAGATGTGAGCAATGGACAGGTGCTCAATGTCATCCATATTAACGTTTAATTGAGCCAATGAGCATCACTGTAACAGAGTGATGGGGATTTACAAGCTTGATTACAGAATTGGACAATGCTAAAGAATGCATATGTATTTGTATGTGAAAAAAAATAATTTTGCTGTAGAACTGCATGATGATATTTCATGTGTCTTTTCTTCATGTTGTGTGTGCCACATTTACTTCTTTGCACAGATACACAATGCTCATGACTGTTATACTAACTTAATGTTTTCTGTTTTAAATAGACCTCAGTCTGATAAAGAGAGTGTGAAGCTGCTCACTGTTAAGACCATTTCTAATGAGTCTGGTAAGTTCCCAGTGAGATGAAAAACTAGTTATTTTGAAATCTAACTATAACCTTGGATTTGTTCATAAGAAACAACAAGCATGACTTCTTTAGAAATAGTCAATAATATCAATAAATATAAATTTCTTGTATGAAGGAAAGATATTCTAGAAATGTCATTTTCATAAGATTGTTGGACTATCCAGTCATTAGAGCTTGCTTTTTAAAGATGCCCATTTATTAATGGGTGGTAACTCAACATACTTCCTATTCTGTAGGAATGGCAAAAAGAATATTAAGGTTTTTGGTAGTTTTTTTATTAAAATGGTTGTTTTGTTTTATTTTTGGTAATGGCTGCCTGTAGTCAATTGGAAACAACGTAAATTAACCAATTAAAATATAAATCATGTTCCATATCATTACATATAATTTTAATTGAGCTTCCCAATAAAGACAAAGCACAATTTCTCATTGATAAAAATCAGTTTCCTTTCTAATTTCTTAGTTACATATATTTGATTTGAAATATAGCAGTTCCTTTCAAAATATAGGTAAGATTCACATATGTTATATTTGTATCAAGAACAAATTTTAAAAAAAGATGCTAGTTAGCTCTTAAAAATAAAAATGCACAAATTTCTTCTTGTTCAGAGTAGACCAGATGTTAAGTAACTAAAAGCACAAAAGAGATAAAGTAACAGCAATTTTATAAGTTTTACAAAATAATCCAAATAGCTCCAATTTAAATAACATTATATTAATACATCTACCGTATTCAGTCCTTCAAATTTTATTTCTAACAAATAGTCCCAGAATACATGTTATACAAAGTGATAGCTACAGAATGGTAAACTGCACTGTAAATATTTCTTCTAGTTAAAAACAATTTGGTAAAACAAAAAACTATCAATTCTGCCCCAAATCAACAGCAAGCTATCAAAGGCTAAATGTTTAGGCTCCAAACCAGAACAAAAGACACCAGGCAAACAGAGGACTTAAATTATATTTAAGTCCCAGGGCCCCAGGGTCTCCACAGACAAGCCCAACTCCTCAAGAGAGCCATTTTCTTTTAAGAGAGACCTCTTTCATTGCTGTAATATTCTACTCTTTGATTCATGCATTTCTTTTATCCCTTTCCTATTGTCTCTCTTAGGAGTAGCCCCATCTAAAGGTGCAAAGGAGTAAAATTTATCCCTAGAATAGTTGAAAGTCACTCTCACCCTTCTTGGCCCAGAGACAATGCTATATAAGCTAGCTCCCATTCTCAGAGTGCATGCAGTGGTACATGGAACAGATCATGGTGGGATGATTAAGTTGACCCTTGACCCTCTGGACTTAACTTTTCTTCCTAAATAAGTAGTCAGGTCACAGGTCTAAGGAGGAAGGATCAACATGGAAATAATAAGATGTGTTCTCTAGGACTTCTAAACAACTTCAAATTCCTACTGCTTTCAAGAAAATAACCTCTCAAAGATCAACCCAGTAATTACCAGGGGAAATAGCTGGTGAGAGGTGAAAACTGAAAATAGTGATCTAGAGCAGATTTCAATCACCCAGAATTGATAACTTAAAACACAATAATATCCAAAAGGTCCTTGTACTATCAAAATTTTTATTAAAACTTGTCACTAACAATACTCAGAGATCCTTAAACATTTCCTAATAAATCTCTTTCCACTGTTTTTCAAAACCTTTTCAAATATGTTGATTAAACTATGCTTATCACACTTAACAGAAGTTATATTAGTAAAATCATTTTTACTTAAGTATCTCAGGACCAATGTTGACATTTTGCCTAAAACAAAACTGAGACAAAAATTCTGAAGTGATGAGGTTTAAGTTTACAGGGTTAGCCCAAGTTTTCTACTATCGCCTACATAAACATCTTTTTTAAATACAGAAAATACTTTGATGAAATAAATATCTAACCACTAATCAATCAGAATTGATGTTATTATGATTTATATTATTTGTTTCAAGGTCTAAGAAATACAGTGTTAATGTGCATAAGTGGATAGCTCTTTGAAATGTGAGCTTCAATGGCCATGATAATTCTTTGGAACTCTCATTTCTTCAGTATAGAAACTCTGGACTTCACCTTAACATGAACTGTGTCATTTTAGAGGCTAATAAACAATGTTTCCAAGGAAACCGACCTCTGCTGCAGTTCACTCTCAGGGAAAATGCCAGTGGATGCTAACTTTTCTGGGTTTCTAGAAGCCTCCATGAGTAACAGAATTCTAGTCCTTTCTCCTGAGAATATTGTTCCTCTGTTTAGGTCATGATGTTTATCCATTCATACTCTCTGCTTCCTTTAAATATATTCTCTTTCAAGTAGCATCTTCTGCTGAAATGGAAGCCCATCCATGCTGAAATTCAGAGCTTTCTTATATATAAAAGAAAAACACTGCAAGAGTATTATCAGTATTCTGAATATGCTTTCAGAAAAATTTGAGTACCAAATGTGGCAGATCAGGGAATCCATTGTGGGAACACATACCATCCCACTTGGCTTTAGTGAGAAATGTTGTCAAGTTAAACATCACCATAGTTGACTTCAAAACACATGTGTGACCTGATGCATTCTAAAACATGATTCCCTTACCACATCGCAGAGAGTTCATATACATTATCTCACTTTTAATATGTGAGGCTGCAGTGGGTCTTGCCCCTTTATAGATTTTAGGTTTCCTCATGCCCACATCTCCTCTTATCTTGCCTACAAGCAAGAAAAAAGCAGCCCAGGGGTTACTCATTAGCAACTCCTTGTCTTGGGAGGAGCAATTCCCTGGAGGTGTAGGTAACCTTGGTAACCAGTTGAGAAGGGGGGGGGAGTGCTCTGGAGATGTGAGCATTTTATTTCTTTTCTTTGAATTAGCCCCATTTTAGAGACTCCAACATCTATCCTCTACTCTGACTACCTGCCCTTTGTCACTGTCTCAGTGGGTGTGGCTCAAGGACAGATAACTCTGCCTAGGATGAGGAAGAAAGTTAATCTGGTTTCCCCAGAGATGAGGAAGAGGGGAGAGATTAGGGAGGAGCAAGGAGAGGGAAAGAGAAAGAAACATGTCTCTTTTAAAAAAATAAGCCACGGTGGCAGAGCCACAAAGGCTATATTCAAAGCATAAAGTGGACCACTGTTGCAAATTTAGTTTCAAAACATTACTTGAATTTGAACCATGTGAAATGCAGATTGGAAAGCATTATAATATTCCTCTGCTTAGAAAGCTCTGAGAAATTCTTATTACCCAAGATTAAGTTAAAGCCCTTAGCACCTCTGTAACACCCCCTACGGGGCTTGATGTGCCCATCCTCTCTAGCTCAGTTTTTGAACCACTTAATAATGGATGTTCTCTAAACTTCAGGCACCCTCTTTCCTCACTGAGTCCTAGCCCTTTTGCAAGAATGAGGAGAGGGTCCCTTGCTCCCCTTTGTGATTCTCCCCTCCCCTCCTGGCCATCATGATCACCACATACTATCAATGTATCACCAACACATCAATCCTATATTATGGTAATTACTCATTAAACAAAGTCACTTTTTAACTTTTTTGCTTATTTTTTATTTTAAAACTGTGTCTATTAACAAGAAATGAACAAAAAGTTGAAAATGAGTACAGCATTCATAGATGTATAAAGCCATATGAAGATTCATCTTTCTTCTTCTCAGTTCTTCACTGGTTTATGCTCTGCAATTCCACTAAGACTTCTTTGACTGTCCTAGTTTTCAATGGTCTTTTCTTTCTAATTTTGCAAAATTATATGTTTTACTGACATACACTGTTTCTTGGTGCTTTAAACTACTATTTAATGTTTAACTACATTATGCATGATTGGAAATAGAAAAATAATACAAAATAATTTTAAGTGATTCTTGATACAACCACTGTTGGTATTTGGTGTTTTTCCTTTCGGCTATTTGTTCTCCAGGTGTGTGTGTATTTCACCTGCTTGAACCATTACATCATTATTTGCATCATTATTATAACTGTTACTGAAATCATAGTGTTATTGAAGCTTTTTCACATTGTCTATTCCTGATTAGAACTTGAAGGGAGCTATTAATAACTGTAATAATTTTCACATGAATTGATTCACATGATTTCTAGCAGATAGTGGAAGGTAAATAAAAGCTCATTTAACAAAATACCTGTACTTCTCATGCTTGTACTTTCTAGCCAAGGTTTCTAGGGAGTTGCTGTACCTTTTGCAAACTAGTAAAAGATTGTGAAGAGAGGCTGTGAGGGCAATCACATTGTGCCAGCCTCTTTCAGATCACAGCCCCGAATTTGTTCTCCTTGTACGACTCTGGCACTATTTATTACTGCCATGACCATGCATGTAACATCCACAGAATCCCCCAAAGACATTTTCCTGAGCACTGTCAGATAAAAGCTGGAGCAAAATGAAGATATTTATCCAAAAAGTTGGAGATGTTCACCTATATTGTTTTATAGAGTGTGGCTGACATTGATGCTTGATTCTGCCTGAAGGATACTGGTGATGTGAAATACATTAGTCATAAATTCAGTGATATGTAAAAAACATGCTTGGGGTCTCTTGGCTTCCCATCATCCTAGGTTAATATATTTATCACTGGTAGATGGTAGAATATCACTGCAATTTTGAGTAAGGTTGCCTGAGCTGCCCTATATGTCACCAATGTGTTTGTGTTGGTCTGTAAATTCATTTTCCCAAAACTCTCAGTGAATTATTTAGACAGAAGGACCCTAGAATTTCTTCCTGATAAAATGGCACTTTGGATGGATGACATGGGTTTGCTCAGGCAAAGCCAGCTCATATAACAAGCCAAAATCAATGATAAATTCCCCAGGGTGTCTCTGTTGTTATGGTCTCCCAATTGACATCTCCCTTTCCAGCGAGTTAGTTAACACTGCTCCTTTAGGGTGAAAATGGATGATGGTCAAAGAAAGCTCATAAATCTTGGTGAATAATTTCCAGGCAATACCAAGAGGCAAATTGTGGCTGTAATGACAACCTTGCAGGAGAACTGAACTTTCCTTAACAAAAACAAAAAACAAAAGAAAACAAGCCAAGAAACCCTATTTTCATCTTTAGCCACTCTCAGAGCACATAGATCAAAACCTATCTTCTGTTCTTAGGTGAACACTCTGCACAAGGAAAAAGCAAGAACTGACAGCTTGATGAATCCTCCTTACACCTGGGCAATAAATATGTAAGTTTCCTAATTCCACTCACTCTGCTACTCATTAATATCTGTTATCTTAGCCTGCTGCACCTTAGATTATTGCCAAAGACTTTAAAACCTGAGAAGTTAATGGTTTGTGTCAGTGAAATCATCATTGTCTATTTGTTTCAAAACAATCTCTAAGAAAAGTTGCCAGAAAAATTAATGTCTTGATGGTTGTAGAAGATTTTTCCAATTTACCTACCTATCTATGGAATGACACAATTCATTCTTCCTGCCTGTTGATAATATTTCCTTATAAATGCAGTCTGTGCCTACCTGGGCCAGTAAACATATGCTAACAATGGTAGTTAGACAAGATTCTATAGCTTACTGATCACTCACAGGACCCAAATGACAATGCTTGAAAATTTGTAGTTTATTGCCAGAAAAGGATACAGTATAGGAGCTGCATTAAAGATATGCATCACAGTCATAGGCTGGCTCAGGGTCAAGAATGCACAGAAGCTGGGTAGAAGTCCAATTGCCTTCCCTCTGTAGGGACCATACCAGCATGCACTTTCTCTCTCAATCCAGGAATTATGAATTTTCACACAAAACATATCAAACAAGGTGATGAAAAATACAGTGTAAGTTGGGGTTTCTCATGCACAACTGATCATGCAGATATATTGGGCATATTTTTGCTTTATAATCAACTGAATGACTTGATCCAGTGCAATGCAGATACTTTTCTTGTTTTAGTAAAATAGCTCAGGTCAATTTCGGGGCTGCTCTGGAATTGCTCAATATGGGCTTGTCTTAAACTTTCCTAGAAGCAGGTCAGGAGATTTTCTTCTGATGTTAATTTAATTGCTATAAGAAGCAATAATTACATGCTGTTATGATTAACATTTGATGCTTTATAGAACCTAGAGAAGAATGTATGATTTGGAATAAATAATTTTAACAAATAAAAAGAACTAATATTTACATGCTCAGATCTGGCCTCAGTACAGTGATAGTCACTCTGGTAAAGTGTCTGGCATAAAGAACATGATTGATGTGTTCACTGCTTCTGTCAACTACCCACCTACTAATATGGTGTCATTACAGACACTTAGCAATTGCTTGTTGAAGAATAGGTGCCTTCCTCAGGAGCTCTGAGTATAGCAGAATACAGAGATAGAGATTTCTATCCAAATGCACACATCATTATTAGAATTTCATCTCTTTATAGCCAGTAATTAGATGCAGATTAGAATGAAAGGAATTTGAGAATTTATCCATTCTTTTATAAACATGAACATTTTTAGGTGCCAAGTTTGAGAAGTGAGGTGTTGAAACATGTGGGTCAGCTCTCACTAATATATGGGAAATGCCCTTGCAGACCAGCTATGATTTCTTCACAACCCTGTGGCTAGTGAAGGGTTGCCTTCTTGATTATCAAAATGCTCAAAGTATAGAAACAAATTGTCCACCTTAAAGAAAGACAAACTCTGGTAAGCTGGAAAAGAAAAAGAAGGAAACTGTATATAGAAGCCAAGGCATAGTGCTGGCCCAAACAAATTTAATAAAAGAAACTATTGTCTAACTCCAATTCATTTCTTTTTTTTATTTTAAAAAATATTCCTAAAAACAGAAAGAATTTTCTCCAAAATCAGGGACAAACAAGGACATCCACTCTCACCGTTCCTATTCAATATAGTTCTTGAAACTCTAGCCAGAGCAATCAGACAAGAAAAAAAATATTAAAGGGATACAAATAGGAAAGGAAGTCAGATTGTCTCTGATTCCTGATTAGATTATTCTATATCTAGAAGATCTAAAAACTCTACCAGAAGGCTTCTAGAACTGATATAAATTTAGCAAAGTAGCATAATATAAGATCAAAATATGGGCATCAATAGCTTTCTTATACTCCAATAATGAATCTGATGAGAAAGAAATCAGGAAAACTACCCCCATTCACAATAACTTCAAACAAAAACAAACAAACAAAAACTTGGGAATAAATCTAAACAAGGAGGTGGAAAGACCTCTACAATGAAAACTATGGAATACTCAAGAAAGAAATGAAGAAAGACATCCCATGTTCTCAGATAGGAAGAATTAATATTATCAAAATGATCATACCACCAAAAGTGTTATACAGATTCAATGCAATCCCCATTCAAATAGCAATGACAATCTTCACAGAACTAGAGAAAATGTTGTAAAATTCATTTGAAAGAGTAAAAAAAGAGTCAAAGCAATACTAAGCAAGAAGAGTGATGCTGGAGGCATCTCAATTATCTCAAATTATACTAGAGACCTATAGTAATAAACCACAGTGTTGTCATCCAAACAGATATGAAAATCAATGGAAAAGAATAGAAGAAACAGAGACAAACTCACATAGATAGTCATCTGATATTTGACAAAGATGCAATAAAATGTTTTGGAGAAAAGATAGCCTCTTTAACGACTGGTGCTGGGAAAACTGGATATTGATATGTAAAAGAATGAAACTAAATCCTATCTTTCACATTTCACAAAAATAAATCCAAAGTAGATCAAACACCTAGGAATTAAACCAGAAATTTTGCAACTGCTAAAAGAAAACACATGCTCAGTACTCCAACCTATTGGCACAGTCACTAACTTCCTTAACAAGACTCCTAATGCTAAATAAATAAAACCAAGAATCAATAAGTGAGATGCTATCAAATTAAAAAGCTTCTTCAGAGCAAAGGGAATAATTAAGGGTATGAAGAGAGAGCCTACACAATGGGAAAAAAATTTTTTCCAGCTACTACTTCAATAGGAGATTAATATCCAGAATATATAAAGGACTACAAAAACCTACACACACACACACACACACACACAGACACACACACACACAAACACACACACACAGAGCAATAAATGGTCAAAAGAACTAAACAGGCATTTCTCCAAAAAAGGGAATAAAAATAACCAACAAATATATGAAAAAAAATTTCAGTGTACATAACAATCAGAGAAATGCAAATTAAGTATGACTGCACATATGGGGCAATGCTCCATCACATACAACCAGAGAAATGAAAATTTGTACTCCATTTGTGTACAATGAATCAAAATGCATTTATTTGTGGGAGAAAAAGTGCACTCTACCTGATACATTGTACCTGTTGATGGACTGCAAATTTGCATCACCACTTTGGAAAGCAGTATGGAGATTACTGAAGACTAGGAATGGAGCCACCATAGGACTCAGCTATCTCACTCCTTGGTATTTGTTTTCATCAGCTTTTTTGCTGCTGTGATCAAAGTACCTGCCAACAACAATTTTAGAGGAGGATAAATTTATTTAGGGTTCACGGTTTCAGAGGTCTCAGTCCAAAGATGGCTTACTTTACTCCTTGGAGCCTAAGGTTGAGCAGAAAACCATGGTGGAAATGTGTGGCAAATGAAAGCTATTTAGGACATTACACTAGGAAGCAGGAAGAGAAAGAGAGGGAGGGAGAAAGAGGGAAAGAGGGAGAGGGGAAGAGAGTGATCCTCTCACCATGGACAAAATATAAAACCCAAAGGCACAGCCCCAATGACCCACCTCCTCCACCACATCTTAGTTGCCAATAGTCACGACCCAGTTAATCCCTATGAGGGGATTAATGCACTGATTAGGTTAAGACTCACATAATGCAATCATTTCATGTTCAAACTTTCCTATATTGTCTCACATGTAAGTTTTGGGATATACTTCATATCTAAACCATGACAATATTTATCCAAAAGAATTAAAATCAGCATGCATAATGATACAACCACATCAATATTTATAGCAGTGTAGTTCACAATAGCCAAGTTATGGAACCAGCCCAGATGTCTGACAACAGATGAATGGATAAAAGAAAATGTGGTCTATAAACACACTGAAATTTTACTCAGAATTAAGGAAGGATGAAATTATGGCATTGCTGGTAAATGGATGGACCTAGAAAACATCATGCTAACTAAAATAAGCCAGACTCAGAAAGTCAAGCGTCAAATGTTTTCTCTCATAGGCAGAAGCTGGAGCAAAATAAGGGGGAAATAGTGGGGGATTATTTCATGAAAATAGGAGGGAGATCAGTGGAATAGAGGAAGGGGACTGAGAGAGAAGGAGGAAAGATGGGAAAAAGGAGGAACTATGACATGAAATTGACCAAATTATGCTATGTACATGTATGAATATCCTACTGTGGATTTCACCTTTATGTTTGTTTGTAAAGCACACTAACTTAAAAACAATGAATAAGTAAAAGGAAGACCAGTAGAGGAGAGGAAGGGCATTAAGGAGAGGAGGGAAAGAGGAAGTTCCTCAGACTGAAATAGAGCAAATCATATCTGATGCTCATATGATTATGTAAAAATGCACCAATGGGTTTTATTAGTGTAACTATAATACACTAATAAAAACATTAGAAATATTCCTGGATTCTGATTTTCAAAATCAAAGGTATATAATTTTTGTTGCTCCTCTGTGGCATTTTGAAATGATAGAACCATGTTCTAAACAGTAAAGATCAGATATTAATGGGAATAAACAGGTTGGACATCTGCCAATTCTACTGTCTATTTGTCTTAATTTTTCTTTAATGTATACGTCTATCACTATACTAGGAATTGAAGAACCAGTAAGTAATTACCTTCTAGGTTGTCAGCTAGAAGTCATAATCAAGAGACTGAGAATAAATAAGAACATATTCATCAGGCCTAGAGTATATAGGAAAGGAAGTTAAGAAACCTTTGAATATATATTCAAAAGCAAAAAATGATACCGAAATACTCACCTATGTTAAAAATTTCCATCTCAAAATAAGATTTTAGATATATTTAATGCTTTTTGCTTCATATATTGATCAGTTATTTTGTGCAGAGGATTTTATTCCATGTGATTTTGCAGGGCAAACAGGAATTCCAAAATCTTTAGGAGCCATGGTCCTTGCCTTCTGCAAATCATTATCTACTGGGAGCATGAGGTTTTGCACAATAAAAAAAGAAAACAATTGAGAAAAAAGTTAAAAGCTGTATGGGTATGATTGCTGCTGACTCATCAATTCAAACTTGTCCTAAAATCTCTGCTATTTTTACCTTCAATAGGAACCTTCAATAGGAAGGTTTATAGGGCTTTCAGAAAACATTACCTTTCACTGCAGGTTTCTTGCTATATTCAGGGACCATAATTTTGTTTAGAATAAGAAAGGGATAGGGCTGGGGTCGTGGTAGCACATTTGCCTAGCATGTGTGAGGCCCTGGGTTCGATTCTTAGTACCACATACACATAAATAAAATAAAGGCCCATCAACAACTAATTTTTTTAAAAAAATAAGAAAATGATTATTTTAATGTAAACTTATTATTTTAATGTAAACTTATTCTATATAATTCACTTTGGTCTCAATTATGAGAACAAAAGTGGTTCCACTCTCAGAATAGTTGGTACCACCCTTGAAATAACAACTTGTGCCAAAATAGCCTGTGGTAAGTTTTGAAGGCCCTTTGAATCAGAGGTGTGAAATAAAGTTACTATACGCATTTTTATACCTGCAGGAAAAATGTGTCTGTTTTCTTTTTCAGAGATGAATTCTCTTATGATAAGGAGTGGCATGGATGACCGCTCAAAGAGATCTTTTGCTCTACATAAAACTTCTGCTAAGACTAGAATTTCTAAATATAAATGTGGACCAGGCAAAGTACACTCCTTGATGCCAATAAGTGGTCTAAACAAACATGTTCACTGAGTGTGGGGTGTCGACATTAGTTAATGATACCTACTTGTGGGGAAAATGTTATAAAGAATTAAACATAAAAAATGAAATTGAGCAAAAAAATTAAGTAGGATTTATTGAGTCGGCTTGACTGATAATTTTTAAAAACATAATCTCCAGGATATACAAAGAACTCAAAAAACTTAATGCCAAGAAAACAAATAACCCAATCAATAAATGGGCAAAAAACTGAACAGATACCTTCACAGAAGAAGAAATACAATCTATCAACAAATATTTGAAAAAATGTTCAGCATCCCTAGCAATTAGATGAAAATCAAAACTACTCTAAGATTTTATCTCACTCAATTCAGAATGGCAATTATCAAGGATACAAGCAACAATAAATGTTGGCAAGGATGTGGGGGGGAAAGGGTACACTCATACATTGCTGGTGGAACTGCAAATTGGTGCAACTACTATGGAAAGCAGAATTCCTCAGAAAACTTGGAATGGAATCACCATTTGACCCAGCTATCCCACTCCTTGGTTTATACTGAACAGATACTTTCACAAAAGAAGAAATACAATCAACAAATATTTGAAAAAAATGTTCAGCATCTCTAGTAATTAGATGAAAATCAAAGGAATTAAAATCTGTATACTACAATAATGCAGCCACATCAATGTTTATAGCAGCTGAACTCACAATTTCTAAACTATGGAACCAACCTAGGTGTCCTTCAGCAGATGAATGGATAAAGAAATTGTAGTATATATACACAATGGAATATGACTCAACCTTAAAGAAGAATGAAATGATGGCATTGGCTAGTAAATGGACAGAGCTAGAGAATATCATGCTAAGCGAAATAAGCCAATCCCACAAAACCAAAGGCCAAATGTTTTCTCTGATATGTGGATCTAGTTCACAATAAGGGTGTGGGGGCTATGGAAGAATAGAGTTGCTTTAGATTAGATAGAGGGGAGTAAAGGAAGGGGAGTGTATATGGAGGAAGGAAGGATAGTAGAATGAATCAGGCATTATTACCCTATGTACGTATATGACTACTTGACCAATGTGAATGTACACCATGTACAACCTGAAGAATGAGAAACTATACTTCATTTATGTATGATGTGTCAAAATGCATTATAATGTCACATATAACTAATTAGAACAATTTTTGAAAAGAGAAAAAGGAAATTCAATGAAAAAAAGAGAGGAATTCTAATATATCATGACTTAAGACTTCCAAATACAAGAAATTACCATTAAAAAACCATAATACTACCCGTAGTGGTGGTGCACACCTGTAATACCAGCAACTCTGGTGGCTGAGGCAGGAGGATCACAAGTTCAAAGCCAGCTTCAGCAACTTAGGAAGGCCCTAAGTAACTTAGTGAATCCCTGTCTCAAAAAATAAAAAGAGCTGGGGATGGATGTGACCCAGTGGTTGAGCATCCTTGGGTTCAATACCTAGTACCTACCTACCCACTCCAACCCCCCAAAAAAGAAAAGAAAACTAATTTGGGATGATGTACATGGCCAATAGAAAGCTAATTGATGTCTTAAACATACAAAAGAAGTTTATATAAGTTGGGAAATAACAGAAAAATGAGCAAAGAACATGAATTGAATTCATAGACAAGGCAATAGAAATGGAAATATGAAACTATGAAGAGTTCCTGCACAACTAGTAATAAAAAAATATGAATTGAGAACGAAAAACTTTTTAACTTATACATTTATTTCAGCTTTTCTCTCCCCATTTTTTTAAAAATATACTCTGAAGCAAATCATTTCATATACTCTGTACTTTAAAGTGAAAATTGGACTAATCTTTTGAAAAGCAGGTGATAGTGTTCACTAAGCAACTTAAAGGTTCACAATTGTCACCTAGCAACTCATGTTGGGGAAAATTTTTATAAATAAATTATCTCAAATGTGAGTAAAGATTAATACACAAAGACTGATATCAAATAATTAGAAACGGCATCAATATCTAAGAACATGAAATTCATAAAACAAATTCTGTTTGGTCTTGACATTACAGAGCTATCAAAAGTAATCAAGACAATTTTTAATAGCATGCCAGATATAAAGAAATAATTTCACAACTGAATGGAACGCAATCTGAATGCTCCATGAGCAGTTCTCTGCTGAGAGCACCCTCTGCCACCCGCCCACTCCCTCACCAACAGGTCTCATCTCCCTGCTGCTCCAAGACCCCTACTAGACTGAGCCAGAAGGAACTTTCAGAGGAGTGAAGAGCTGAGCCACATGCAAAATCTAGCAGCTCCTATGAAGGTGGCATCACGTGGATCTTCGACCCTGGGGACTGTTAGCCACTTCTTTTTTTTCTCCCAGATCCAATTCACAGTACTTCTGTGAATTTTCTAAATGGCACCCTGATAATGTAAGAGCATCTTTGTGAACTCCAAGAGGGTCTTAACATGTTTTTCAATTATTTTCCTTTCATTTTCAAAATGAAATAACAGACACTAAAAGAAAAACATCATGAGTAAAGATTTATTTTCCGATCCTACTCTATAACCTTGAATGAGTGTCTTGATAATGTTTTGCACTGGGTTCCACATCTATAAAACAAAGACAAAAATGATCTTTTCTCCTATGTCATTGTGATTCTTTATATATGAAGTATTATCATTAGTGTTAAATATATCTGATAGTTATCATAAAATAATCATTTATTAATTATAAAAATACAAGATTTTCAATATTTATGGTTGTGTAGAATCCACAGTGAGTCCTGTACATCATTATTGAAGCCAGCACACTCACTCCTAAAAGGATTAAAATGTGAAAGAAATAAAATACTGATATTAGCACAGACATAGAAACTGACAGTATCAGCTAATGAAAAAATTTATTAATGAAGCAAGATCCGCTCCTTGAAAAAAAAATTGTCAATGTGGAATACATGCTATTGAGATTCCAATTTGTTTCTATATAGATTGTAAATATTTGATAGAAAGTTTACAACAATAATCATGAGCCTTATCTTATTCATACGACTCCAAACATCTACCTAGGCAAACTGTGCTATAAACTGTGGCTTTACTTGGAAGCTCATCTACATAGGTATGGCTCAGTTTAACCCAATCTCACCAAGACCTCCTCTTGCCATCTTCATTGAGGTTATATAGTGACAGAGCACAGTAGCTGCATCCCCTTAGTGCCAGGGCACAGTGACTGTATCCCCTTTTGATAAGGCACAGTAAACACATCCCCTTAGTGTTAGGGCATAGACTTTATTCAGCAGAGGAGTATAATGACATTTGTGCTTGAGATTCACCACTACTTGGTGTGGAGTCTACTAATTCAAGAGGAGCTAGAGTGGAAGTAGAGAAGTCAAAGGTTATTGAAATATTTCATTGGAAAACAACAAGGACTTGAACCAGGGCTGCAGTTGTAGGAGAGCTGGAGATGAAGAGGCAGAACAAAATAGAGAGCTGCCTGAAAGATAAACATATCAAGATGTGGTGATGGATTGGATGTGGGTGGTGGAGAAAGAGGAAGAATAGAATTGTGGATGATGCACACACTTCCAGCCTGGGTGCCTGGATGAATCATGGAGGTAATAGCAAAGATTGGGATTATAACATGAAGGAAACAAAGATGGGGGACAATAGAGTGGTTTGCCATTCAGAAAGTTAGATTTGATGTACTTGTGAGACATTCAGTAACCATATTGTGAAATATTGAATATTTCTTACCAAGGCATGGTCTTCACTGCCATCACTATTTCTACTTCACTGTATTGGAATCTGAGTTTCTGTTGTTGTTCTTGTTCACAGGCTTAATCTTCAGCTTCTATGCTCCAGAGGTGGAAAGGGAGAAAGTTCTGCAGAATCACTCCTGACCTCCGGTCTTGCTCTCCAGTCTGTATCAGTTGCCTGTCACGCAATAATTTGATAGAAACAAGAATTCTGGACCTCTCTTGTCCTTTGAGATGTAGAAAACCATATTCCTTCAATTTATGAGACATTTGTAGGAGAGCAAAATTTAGGAGGGACTTTTGTGTGCAGTGAACCTGGCAGCCCGGGTAGGTGGCTCCCTGAGGATATGTCCTTCCCTGAAATTTAAAGTTTCCAGAGGGTGACAGTTTTTATTCTTGGAAACTTTCCTACTTTCTTAATGTTCTTATATGACTTAGTGTTTGTATTTATTGTTTTCTACTGTGTTTATGCAGGGAATATTTGCAAGTGTCTTATTAAATATTAGGTAGAAATCATACCATGCTACCTTGTACAGATAGGTATTTTATTCATATTTTGAGATATTACTTTTAATAAATAATTGCTGCAACTCAACACACTAAAAAATCACATAAAAATGGTAATGATATTGTCCTTCTACAATTATGAATAATTTTGGATTGATTTCTTTAATAGAAAAACTCATTAGAATTTCAGAAAGGCATCTATAATAACCCGAGAAAGGGACAGAGAATTCATGTGTCAGACACTGCCTGGGAGAGAGAAGTTTGCCATTTCTTTGGTCTTTCTGTTTGAATGCACACTATGTGACAAGGATATAAGGGCATTTATGACATGCTGTCTTGCATTAATTAAGAATATAACAGGATCAAGATATTTTTCATTAATCTACTTGGTTGATAATATTTCTGTATTTTTTTTATTTCTTTTATAAATGTAAAGATTTATTCTGCGATCATTGCTAAAACTCTGCTTTGTAGAAAGCTGTCACATAAATACATAATTGGGATATTATTTTTCAGGGTATCACTTTCTTAAAAATCCCCATATGACTTTAGCTGCCTCCCCATCAGGAGCAAACCCTTCTGTTGAAAGCTGACTGATCGACCTTGACCATTTCCTGGACACATCAGATCAAAATGTCAAGTTGGATGAGGTTCTGTGAAAAGCTTTGGAACTAACAAGCTGCAGTTGTCAGCTTTTCACATCTATGATTTCTTAAGCTGATGTCAATGTTAAATTATCTTAATGATCCGAGGGCAATATGGTAGAGATGGAATGCCATGTATAAAACTGCCTTGAACTTTTTTCTTTGTTGCAATGTATTTGAAAACTTTGCACTCTAGGGATTGTATAATCATCTTGATTTTTAGCTCCCTGATATTTGAACTATTTCCAATCAAGGACACCAGGGAAGCATATCTATATTTCTGGTGGATTTCTCTTTATGTTTCTGTGAGAAGGAAGGGGACTAGATAATAAGATGAGAAGGAACAGAGGAAAGATCTCCATTCCATGTGCTTTTACTTAAGGCTGCCTTGTACATGTCTAATTCTAACTTAGGAATCTCTAAAGGAGTGACACATTTAGAGACTTCACAGTCACGGAGTGTTTGTCTTCACATGGAAAATAACCCAATGTCCATAGACTGCTCCAGTGAGCACCCCAGCAAAAGCCTGTCACAACAGAACATCTTACAAGGAAGCATTCTCTTCTACAGTTTAAATTACCACAAGTGATACGACTTCTAAAAAAAAAAAAAAAAAAAAAAAAAAAAAACATTTTCTAACTTTCATGACCATTATTAGAAAATGTTTACCAGAATCAGGAAGAAGGAAAGCTTTTTAATGGTCATGAAAGAATTAAATTCATCCCAATTCAAGAACTGTATACAATGAATATGTTTGATATTAATAACTAAAGCAGTGAGTCTTTAAAAAGGTCAAAGTGACAGGAGATTGAAGAATTTAGGGAGATATGCATAGGATACAATTTGTAGCATCATTTTCAAAGATAACCTCAAATGTTGGCATTTTTATAAACCAACTTAAACTTCTATTGAGATAGGATATTTTTGTTTGCTGGTCAAAATCGTCATTAATCAAATTCTTTTTTTCAAATTAGATGATCTACTTTTAATGCCTGACTTATTGTGAGCTTTTTAATCCAATATACAGTTCAAATGTTACTGCAACAAAGGAATATATGTATTTAGATCAAAGGCAAGACTTTCTATGAGATTGTTCTGCATGACAATATGAATATAATTTAAGTCTACCAATAGTTCGAACATAAACAAGAGCTAATTAACTGGCAGTGTTGTCAGCTGAGAATAAGTGGATGTTGGCTGACACACAAGCTATGATCAGCCAGCAGAGAAAGACTTCTAAATTCTCCTTGCTGAGCTGAAATATTTCATTACATATGGCTGACAAATCTGTTCTATTTCTTGTCTACATGCCACATTTAAGTTTGTAAGGACCAACATAGGACATAGTTGAAATTTTGATACTTTAACAATAAACACACTAGCCTTGTCTGATTTTTCTCAATTGAGTTTAATTTATTCTCATTAAGATTTTACGAGGCTCTGGGCCAGGGATGTAACTCAGTGGCAGAGCATATGCCTAGCATGTAAAGTCCTGGATTTAATCCTCAGAACTGGGGGAAAATAAACAAACAAACAAACAAATTAAAAACAACAATAACAACAAAAAAACATATCTTACTGGGCTCTAAAATGAAAACTGTTTGCTTTAAAAGTTGTATTTTGAGTAACTGTAAAGTCAGTTTTCTATTTCACCAGGTTCCAGTATCCATTGATTTGACCGATCTCTAATAAAAATTAATTGGAGAAAGAAAACTGTGTCTGTACTGAATATGTACAGATTCTTTTCTCATGTCATTATTTAGTAAATATATGATATAATAATTATATGGTATAATAACATTTACATTGTATTAGATATCATAGGTAAATCTGGAGTTGATTTAAATTATGGGGGAGGATATGTAGAGGTTGAATGCAAACACTACATAATTTTGTAAAAGACCTGAGCTCCATAGATATTGGAACCTATGCAGGATCCTGGAACCAATTCCCCATGGGTGACTAACGTTGTCTCAAGATTATGAAACTGTTTATGAGTGCTTGTCACCATAACAGATACCTGAGATAAATCGACTTACAAAGCAAAAGGGTATATTTTGGGGAACAGTTTTGGAGGTTCCAGCCCATGATCAATTGGCACCATTGCTTTGGGAGCCTGTGGCAAGGCAGCACATCACAGTGGAACAAAATCACTTCCTCATGGCCAGGAAGCTAGAGAGAGAGAAGAGCCTGGAGTCCCATAAACCTCTTCAAGGTCCACTCTACAGACCCCAAGGTCTCCCAGTAGGCCCTACATTTAAAGTTTATCACTTCCTCCCAATAGTACCAAGCTAAGGACCAATCTTATAACACATGGACCTTTCGGGGACACTCTGGTTCCAAATCATAGCAGTGCTAATATGAAAGATCTCCATAATTGTGAATAATTGAGCCTATAGTAGTTGCTTTGAATTGAAAATTTGGTATGGATTTCCCACTGAATTTTTCTTTAAAATTTTCCCAGAACACCAACAAAACATTTTGCATCCCATTAAATGAGTCTGTTTTGTCCTTTGTTCCAGAGGAAGTGTCTTGTAGGCTTGAATATGCCTGTTCCCTGCTCCAGGATACTTTTTAAAGGAAAAACTGTTTTGATAAATAATGAAAAAAACATTCATCCCTCCATCAATATTAGATTCCTGAMACTGAAGTCAGAAATTCTACCAAAGTCAAGATGTTCTGTTGGTGTTCTGGGGAAGTTTAATAATTTAGAGGTTATTAAGGACTTGTTTAACATTTAGAAATAATACAAACATAAGCCTATTTTCAATATCATAGATCATGCTTTCTTTAAAAAAAAAAAAGGAAAAAGAGTTCTACTAATGTAATAATAAGAAATGTCTCTAGTTCGCTAATACCAATCGAATATTCACTATGTGCCAAGTACTATGCTAAAAATTTCACAGTTACCATTTCAGTTTATCACAATAATCGCAAGAAATAATTCCTAATATTACTTTAGCARCATCTCCATTTTAAAATGTGAAAATCAACTCAGAAACTTAAATAATTTTGTTGAAGTTTATGCAGCTAGTAAACAGAAAAAGATTTAGATTCCAACCTATTCCCCAATTCCCCAAACCCTGTTCTTCTTCACTATATTAATTAGCCTTCTAAGCCACAGTTTGCTTATCTACAGGAAGGAGTGAAAGCATAAAGCTGATGGTCATGATTAAAAACAGGGTACAGACTTACATAACCCTAATAACAATTAAAAAACAGAGCAACTATTTTTGACAGTGGACAACAGACAGGACTGAACTAGGATTCATTCATGAGCACAGAGTAACAAGAAAAGATGGGCCTTTCAAATCCCTGACTGGCACAGTCCAAACCAGCTGCATAGTTAGGTTAGAACCTGATAGTTGCTCTGAGCTGTGGTTGGAACAAGTGGGCTCCAGAGGCTGGAAATTGTGAAGCACAGAATCAGAATCACACAGGAAGAACCTACACAGAGAAAGGCTTCCAAAAACTCTGCATGTAGGAAACTATATCCGTTAATAATGGGAGAATAAACTATTAATATTCTTATGGTAAAACTCCATGAGGCCGGGAAAATTACAAGGAAAGAATGACTGGGGAGTTGTATGCTGTGAATTTCTAGGCCTCTTACAGAGMAGAAAAATATTCAAGATTTGAATTGAAAATCCTTAAATGATCCCAGAATGGTCATACCCTTAGTAGTATTAAAATATTGCTGGAGTAAAGACTCTAGATAAGCCCCAATCCAGCCTAAATGCAAGACTTAAAAGAATTACGCTGATCTACTAATGGCTTTCCAGAACCAAGTCTGACAATCATTTATAAAGACAACAAAATACAACATAGCACCTCAACAACGTGCAAGTCCAAATAGTATCATCTAATCTRAGTTATGTCATCTCCCAAAGAAATAAGTTGTGAACCACAACCGTAAGAAAACATTAGTCAATAAAGATAGACTCAGAAATGACAAAAAGAATGGTCATTTTACAACTAACATGTTGATAATAAAACGAATCACAGACCATTTAAAAAAAGAAAAAAGGAAAAAAACTGACTATGGGCAAATAGTTCTTTCTCATGAACACAAACACCCAAACCATTAACTAAATATTAGCAAGGCAAGTCCAGCAAATTTTTAAAATAATAAGGGAGATCAATTCTAGGAATTCAAGGTCATCTAGGATTTGAACATCAATCATTGTAATTCAACATTTTAACAGAATAAAGGACTAAGTGTTATGCTTATCTATAAAGATGTAGAAAATACATTTGAATAAATTCATTATTTATTTATGATAAAAATCTCTATCACACTAGGACTAAAATGAACTTCTTTGATCTGATAAAGTATGTTTATGAAAATCCTATAGTTAATTCTTAAATAAATGGTAAAAATTTAAATTTTTTCCCCTTAAATTAGAAACATAGTAAGCATATAAGCTCTTACCGCTRGTATTCAGCACTATTCTTGGGGGACAACGGATATACTAGCCAGTGCGGTAATATAAAAAAAAGTACATGCAGTCTTGAAAGGAAATTGAAAAAAAAATCAGGAACATATTTTATAACATCTACCAAAAAATCTCCTAGAATTAATAACTGAATGTATTATAGTTGTAGGATAGAAACCAAAATACCAAGTTAATGGATGTCTTTTATAAACTAGTAATAAAAAAACTAGAAATTGAAAATAAAGAATATTTCCTAAAAATAATGTCAAGAAATATAAAGTACTTAAGCATGAATTTTACAAAATAGGCTTATTCCTTGCTCACATAAAACTGTTAAACTTCTGAGAGAAATTAAAGAACAGTAGATCATGGACCAAAGGACTCGATATTACTAATATGTCATGTATACTTAATTGATCTGTTTTTATTACAATCCCAATGCAAATTCAGTATTCCTTTTTGTAGAAACTGATAAGGTTGTTCTAAACTTTGTGTGGAAATGCAAAAGACTTAGAATAGGTTTTTTTTTTTAAAAAAAAAAAGCATGCAGTTGGAGGATTCACACTTCCAGATTTAGAGATTTAGTATAATTTACAAAAAGAGTCATAATCTGGAAAAAAGAGATTCCAGAAATAAATATAAATACTTTCCCCCTATAATCATCCCCATACATGGCTGATTTTTGTTTTTACAAAGGAGCCATAAATACAAACAACAATAAATGTTAACAAGGATGTGGGGGGAAAAGGTACACTCATACACTGCTGGTGGAACTGCAAATTGGTGCAGCCAATATGGAAAGCAGTATGGAGATTTCTTGGAAAATTGGGAATGGAACCACCATTTGACCCAGCTATCCCTCTCCTTAGTCTATACCCAAAGGACTTAAAACAGCATACTACAGGGACACAGCCTCATCAATGTTTATAGCAACATAATTCACAATAGCTAAACTGTGGAACCAACCTAGATGCCCTTCAATAAATGAATGGATAAAATAAAAGTGGCATATATACACAATGGAATATTACTCAGCAATAAAAGAGAATAAAATCATGGCATTTTCAGGTAAATGGATGAAGTTAGAGAAGATAATGCTAAGTGAAGTTAGCCAATCCCTAAAACACAAATGCAAAATGTTTTCTCTGATATAAGAAGTCTGATTCATAATGGGGTAGGGAAGAGGAGCATGGGAGGAATAGAAGAT